TAGGACGTGAGGGACTACGAATGTCCCGTAAAGCCACATGTGGGTTAGATCAGTCGATATCCAACAAATAAATCCTTGTGTGAGCAATTATTCTTGCCCCTTTTGCACTTGAGGCACATTGTACCCAGCTGTGGTGTGTTTCTACTGGGACCTCAAGACAGTTAATTTGTTCCGGTTAACTGGGAAGAACATTTAGTCTTTTCCTTGTCAAAAGAAGGGGAGGGGCACAGGAAGGAAAGGGGAAAGAAATAGGGTAATCCTCTTCCCAGTTACTTCTCTCTTCTGTCTGTTTGGAAATGCTTTAACTTGTGGGTGTTGAGTGCCATGTGTGTTCGAAAGGGCATTGCAGAGCTCAAGACCTGGAGGAGAAAAGAATTATTTATCCATGATTCAGCGTTGATTTGTTTGCACCAGCTCACCAAAACCAGGCCCAAGCCCCATGGTACAAATCCAGTCTGGATACAGAGGATTGATGTGGTGATTGGACTTTGCCCAGCCTGGGGGTAAAGCCCAACTCTGACTCCAGATCCAGCTTTCGGAGTCAGCTTTAGCATGAATCTGGATGGGGACCTGCCCACTCCTACCTGTCCAGCACAGATCTCATCACTGTACATGGCTGTCGGCTATTTTGGGAGCAGTGACAGAGGAAACTGGATACGTGGACAGAAAAGGGCTGGGAGAAGCCAGATGGGGGATAGCACTTGCTCCCTGGGCTCCAGCACTTCATCTCCATCCACCCAGCAGCCAGGATACATGCTGTGCCCTGCCGGCACCAGCGGGTCCTGTCCCTGCCTGCACCGACGTGAGCACGGAGCACCGTCGGGGCACTCGCTCTGGTTATCTCTAGCTGGTCTTTCATGAGTATTAACGGGAGCAGGATGTGTGTGGCAGACTGATAACACGCTTCTGACAGTCAAGGACTAGCACCTCCACAACAGCTTGTGTTTGTATCACAGTTTTATGAATAAGCTGTTTTAAAAGGGTCTGAAATTGCATTATTTCGTCTATTCTAATTTGTATCACTAAATAATGCAGCTGATACTGCTGAAACTTGATTTCTTCATTGAGAAAGTGAATGATGTTTTTCATCATTCTGATGACCTGAGTTTTTTATTCATTTCATCAGGGCGATGGATTTTCTGTTTGTTTTATCCTACAGGTTAGTTAACCCTTACCTGGAGGGTGGAAGTTACGTTAGGGTTTTCTCAGACACACCAGGAGGTGATGGGTAAGCACAGAGCAGGACCCTGCCCTGGCTAGCGATCCTCACCCACTGCCTGCAGGGAGGAGTTTTGCATCTGGCGTTTCAGCCAAGGCTCTGCTCCCTGAATTTGGGGATGCCAGGGGAGGATAAGCCCTGTTAGTGTGTGTGCTGCCTTCCTGGCTCGGGTAGGAGCTGCAGCTTCTTACGGGTAGTTTCAGAGTGTTTTGTCTCCTGAAGGATTCCCGCTGGGCTTTAAGGTCCAAACACAGCGGTTGCTTCCCCTGTGGCTGCAGTGCAGCCCCCTCGCAGGAGGCACACACCGATGGTCACTGCTGTGCAGTTCTGCTCAGGAGGCTGCTAAAATTTCTTGGAAACCTTTTGGAAAATTGATGTTGTTGAGGAGCAACCAGAACCACCTGCCAGCTAGGATGAGACTCGCTGAGCTGCTCTTCTTGAAGCCTTTGTCCTTGGCTAGTTCAAATAGGTGCTAGGGCTTGTGTCTAGGCTGCCTCCTTGTGAAAGATGGCCTCGAAGATCTGGTGGCATTTTCCATCTGTCACTATCATGATCTGAAACAAGAGCTGTCTTGGACAATTTTTGCCTGACAACATCACGGTTCCTGTTCATAGCTGCGTCCCACTCAGGCACCAGCCTGAGCTACTTCCACCCCTGAGGGTTTATTTATAGAAATGACACAGCACCAGCTTTTAAAGGAGGTCCGTGCTGTGAGAACGGCTCTGAGGAAGGAGGTATTGGGTTTCAGGACTGCTCTTTGCTCTTCTCTTTTAATTGCTGTCTCTTTCCATAAAATGTTACAGTTAATAGTTATGGTGATTGGTGTAGCCAATTTGAAAAATAATTACTGCCTGCTTCAAGATTATCTTTCCTCCTAATTAAAATCCCGGACCTCACATATTAAAGGTGTGCTGTTGACACAGCATCCCATGTGCACCCAGACAACCTCATTTGGATTTACAGAATTAATTAGGTTTTATTTCCATCCCCAGCTGTTCTCTCCTGCACCAGGAATGTGGCCACTGTCTCAGTTGGCCAGTGGTGGGAGAGATAAGAGGGAGCTCTTCCTGCATAGCTCCCACACTCCCATCATAAGCCAGTCATTAAAAAGTATTCTTCAGACCTCACCAGAGGATTTCCCACCTTCACTGTCCAGGAAACAAATTGCAAGTGCTGTGGCATAACATAACCTGTGTTATGGTTTGGGCATTATATATTATGTATGTCATCTGTATGGGTGGGTTGGGACAGCCTGGAGTCCATCACCCCCTCCCAAAGCTGCAGCCAGCAGCTGGAATTTATGATGCTGTAGGAGCGAGGTTTGTCATCCTCCTCGTTTTCACAATGCCATGGCTGCAATAGAGGGAAATACAGATAAAAGAGCCAGATTTTTAATTTTTATTGTAAGAAACTGAATTGTCCTTGTTCCCTGCCCCAGTATTACTGAGGGAGTGCTCACTAGCTGCGTGTGCTGAGGTGGATATGCTGGGTTGGTTTTGGTAGGGCTGCTTCTGGGTACTGGCTGCGCACTCTTGTTGGTCTTGGGCAGGCTGTTTGTGCATGCTGGGTTGCAGAGGACAGCGTGCTTCTGTAGGGCACTCCTGTGTTTGGCCCAGGTCATTTTTGTCATCGTTAATACGCTTGAAATGTTGGTCACAGGTGGCACCCGTGTGCAAGGGTCACCTCGTCGTGCTGTCAAGGCCTTTGTACGTTCACAGAGTTTTTACAGCCTTTCAGCAAAACCTGAAAGTTAATATTTTGGGCAGGCGTAAGGTCACCAGTATGTTTCTGTGCTCCAGCTGGTAAATTGATAAAAGGAGAGTTTTAAGGCTAAAGCAGCTGCAGGACAAACCCAGACAGTTGCCTTCCCCCAAAGCCAGCCAGTTAATGTGGCTTGACAGTTCTTTCCAGGTAGTTTCCCCGCTGCATAAGGATACCCTAATTCACAGTGTTAAACGGTTGTGATAATCTCCCAGTTCTCTCCGCGTGCCAGGGGTCTAATGTGCTTACCCATAAACTCATCAAGGAGGCTGTTTTATGGCTACCTGTGGGAGAAGATTGCCGTGGCACCGCAGCGAGCCTTGCTGTGTCCCCATAGCGCAACCCATACGGCCGGGCAAGCCCAGAAAATGCTGATGCTGTGCCTTGGAGATGCTGATTTTCATCAGTTTCCCCCCAATTTCTTGCTCCTTTTTCATGCTGGATGCTGAGGAGATGAGTCAGGAAAGGAGAACCTCCCCAAAACTTCATACTTGCCTTTTGGCAAAGCTACAGGCCCTTGGACACCCCTGGGGTGTGGGACCCCCGTAAACCCTGCCATGCCCTTCCTGCACACGCCGAGGTGGTCGTTCTGCTTCCAGAATTTCATTCACCAGAAAAGTCAATTTTTCTCTTATCTGGCTGAGAACAAGCAAGTATGTTTTGTGCCTTGGTTGCTAAATTTGAATGGCTTTCGTGAAAAGGTAATTTGCAGGATTAAGGCTCAGCTCTCCCAAGGGTTCCCGCTGTCTGACTGCCAGACCCTCAGGAGCCGAGCAGAAAGTGCAAATGAGGAGCGAGAAACTTCCCATGGCTCTGCGTGTGGCAGCGGGACCCGGCTCAGGATCCCAAACCTGTGGGTGGGAGCACAGAAATGCCACGTGCTTTGCTTCGCTTCCTCATGCTTTTTATCCAAAGCGTTGCCAGTCACTCGCCTGAACTCAGGCCCTTTGAAAGTTCTACCAAAAGTCATCTGAGGTCCTGAACGGACTGTGACACGGTGGGATGCGCTGCCGGCACCATCCCCGCCTGCTGTGGGGCAGCACTGGCATCAGACGTGCAGGGGGAGGAGGGAGTGCACCCGAGAGGGGCATTTTCTACCTCCCCCAAACCTTTTGCTTTCTGATTTTGCTCCTCTGACAGTGTTTTTCTGCTGAGCAAACCAGGTAAGGTGCCTGAGCAGTTAACACTGGGCTCTGGAAACATCTTCTTACAGGATGTTGACGCTGCACTAACTTTTAATCGTCAGCCCAAAATACAACTGCTGATACCGTTTCTGCTCGTGCATCACTGCAGGGTGCCTCCTTCCCCTGTTCTTTTTGCCATCCCTCATAAAAACTAACGCACTTTTCAGCAGCGAGCACAGCTGACCCCCATGTCGCCTATTATATGTTGCAATACACCATATTGTGTGTCTCACAGACTGATTTTGCAGAGTGTGGTAACGTTTTTTGGTCCAGGATCACAGTAGCAACCGCTGAGTGTAATGGGAGTGTGTTTTAGCTTTTTCAACCTGGTGGCCCTTTATTCAAAGGCAAACACTTTTACAGCTCTGTTGTGTTTACTGTCAGAGTAAAAATCTTCATTCATCAATGAAAATCATCAGCTTGTGTGTGTGAGTGTGGCTGCTTTGAGGGGTTGCTGGAGTCTACTTGACATGTGGATGGCTTGGTCTGTGGTATTGATCTCCTGGGCTGATTGGAAGATAATTGTAGGCTGAAGTACTGAAGGCCGCCGTTGCAAGCAATTTGTTTTTCATAAAGGATTGCCGAGACATGAGATGCTTCAATGCCATAGCAACAAGTGTGATGTAACTGCCAGACAGAGAGCAGGAGGATGCTTATTCATGAAGCAATCCCTGGAGAGGCTTTTTCTTGGCATGGAGAACTCTTCTGCAAGTCAGAAACCTCTCACTTTGAATTACCAATATATCTCAGTGAGAGGCTGGAGAGAGAAAATGTGCAAGACACGAGCTTCGTGTGGGGGGAGGAATAACACGCTTTCCTCTACTCTCCCTTTGCAGGTACTGGCTAACGAACAAGGTGCACATCAAGCGACCCACCACCGGCCTCCTCATGTACACCTTAGCCACTCGATTCTGCAACCAGATCTATCTCTATGGCTTCTGGCCCTTTCCCCTGGACCAGAACCAGAATCCAGTCAAGTACCACTACTACGACAGCCTGAAGTATGGCTACACCTCGCAGGCCAGCCCGCACACCATGCCCTTGGAGTTCAAAGCCTTAAAGACGCTGCACCAGCAGGGAGCCTTGAAGCTGACAGTGGGGGAGTGCGATGGGGCCACGTAGGGTGGTCCCCGGCCGC